TATACAGCAATGCATTGGAAAAACTGTGGTGGTTTTACTTTATGTATAGTTTGATATCATGTCTAGATTTAAAACATATTGGAATACAATTCATGTTTTTATATCAAATGGCTATTTTTGTATAGTACGGCTGCTTGAACCTTTCTTTCATCCAATCACACAGTGAGGTCCATTTCCACCCAGTCATGCAATGAGCCGCACATTGAGTTCTACCTCCGCCTAGACACGCATTAAGTTCCACCTCCAGCTAGCCACACATTGTGTTCCACCTCTGCCCAGCCACTGATTGAGCTCCACGTCCGCCCAGCCACTGAATGAGCTCCACCTCCAACCAGTCACTGATTGAGCTCCACCTCCACACAGCCACTGACTGAGCTCCACCTCCAACCAATCACTGATTGAGCCCCATCTCCACCCAGCCACTGATTGAGTTCCATCTCCACCCAGCCACTGATTGAGGACCACCTTCACCCAGACATACAGTGAGCTTAGCTCCCACCTAGTAAACTCCACTGCAGTTCATACACAAAGGGAGCTCCATCTTCTTTCAGGCATACGTAGGTTTCCCATGTACACGATTGTGCAGGGTATTCCTCCTCCTCTATTCATGCACACTGATTGCTCCACCTCCCTTAAGCATACCATTAGCTCCTTCTTAACCCATTTACACAAGCAGCTCCTTTCCAACCCGACACACCGGGAGGAACTCCTCTATGAAAGCAAAGTCACATAAGGAACACAAGACACACATTAGGAAAGAACATTTCCAGCTAGCATACACACATTTAAAATCTTACCCCACTTCACCAGACCACAACGCACCCCTAAACGGCCACACAGCTTCATGGCACATCTGTGTAAAGGAAATAAATATATTTTCGAAAGCAATCATCAATTCCTTCTCCTATGATCAGCTACATAGTGAAAATGCCACATATAAAACAGAGAAAAAAATTGTTTAGCTTTAGAAGCATTAAGAGAGGCCACTCATTAATCCCGATGCTTTAGGTCTCCAATACTACTGATAGCTAGATATAAAGTACCTTCTCATCAGTACCAACAAATGCATACAGACATACTACAAGCAACAAATATAAATAATTTAAAATGAGCACCTACTGCATATAGCCAACCAACTTCAAGCACATAACCCACAGGTAGACTAATAAAGAACATGTACTACTGGCAGGCAAAATCAGAGCCTTTACTACAGGCAGGCATACACAGAGCACCTACTATAGGCAGGAAACCATAGAGCTCTTGCTACAGCCAGGCATACATAGCATGCTTATTAAAGGCAGGTACACACAGAGTACTTTCTACAGCCAGGCACACATAGTGGACCCCCCACAGGCGGGTAAAACACAAAATGCTTTCTTCAGGCTGGCACATACAGAGCATTTACTACAGGCAGGCACAGAGAGAATGGGCACAAAGGCAGAAAATACTACAGGCGGGCACACACAGAACACTTACTACAGGCAGGTACACACAGAACACTTACTACAGGCAGGCACAGAGAGAATGGGCACAAAGGCAGAAAATACTACAAAGCGGGCACACACAGAACACTTACTACAGGTGGGCACACACAGAACACTTACTACAGGTGGGCACAGAGGGAATGGGCACAAAGGCAGGAAATACTACAGCCGGGCACACACAACACTTACTACAGGCGGGCACACACAGAACACTTACTACAGGCAGGCACAGAGGTAATGGGCACATAGGCAGGAAATACTACAAGCGGGCACACACAGAACACTTACTACAGGCGGGCACACACAGAACACTTACTACAGGCGGGCACACACAGAACACTTACTACAGGTGGGCACAGAGGGAATGGGCACAAAGGCAGGAAAATACTACAGCCGGACACACACAGAACACTTACTACAGGTGGGCACACACAGAACACTTACTACAGGCAGGCACAGAGGGAAGGGGCACCAAGGCAGGAAATACTACAGGTGGGCACACACAGAACACTTACTACAGGCACGCACAGAGGGAATGGGCAAAAAGGCAGGAAATACTACAGGCGGGCACACACAGAACACTTACTACAGGAAGGTACAGAGGGAATGGGCACCAAGGCAGGAAATACTACAGGCGGGCACACACAGAGCACTTACTACAGGAAGGTACAGAGGGAATGGGCACCAAGGCAGGAAATACTACAGGTGGGCACACACAGAACACTTACTACAGGCAGGCACAGAGGGAAGGGGCACAAAGGCAGGAAATACTACAGGCGGACACACACAGAACACTTACTACAGGAAGGTACAGAGGGAATGGGCACCAAGGCAGGAAATACTACAGGTGGGCACACACAGAACACTTACTACAGGAAGGTACAGAGGGAATGGGCACCAAGGCAGGAAATACTACAGGCGGGCACACACAGAGCACTTACTACAGGCAGGCACAGAAGGAATGAGCACAAAGGCAGGAAATATTACAGGTGGGCACACACAGAACCCTTATTACAGGTGGGCACAGAGGGAATGTTCACAAAGGCAGGAAATACTACAGGCGGGCACACACAGAGCACTTACTACAGGCAGGCACACACAGAGCACTTACTACAGGCAGGCACACACAGAGCACTTTTAAAGGGAAGTTCTCGGTAGAGGCAGGCAAAAAGGGGGCCAACCCATACAAAGTACTTAGTATAGACAGGCACAGAGGCAGTACTTACTATAGGCAGGTCTTGGTAAAGGCAGACACAGAGGGAGTACCTACTAGAGGCCGACCAATACAGAGTATAGGCAGATATATAGGTGCAGCTACAAAACACAGTCACAAGTAGCTCTACTACAACTGTAATCAACATATGATGTTGTGAATAGTCTGATTCACTAAACGGACTATGTGAGATATTAAAATAGTTTACGGTAGTTGTACACCATGGGGGGTGAATCTAGGCTCTAAATATATTCACACACATACATACACCCTCTGTGCAGGTGTGTACACACAGCGTGCAAAAATGTAAGATATATATATATAGAGAGAGAGAGAGAGAGAGAGAGCTAGGCGGTCCTCTTTTTGCTTTGACCACACTCTGAGCAAACATATTTGAAGCAGAAGACGTACTTCTTAAACTTGTGACCCAGACACTTTGTAGGACATCCAGACCAAGCACTCTGGGCTCAGACGCTGGGTTCAGTCATCAAGTACGGCCTGGTCACAGAGTGTAAACACAGCGAAGACTGTGCTGGCATGCCCACGCCTAAAGCAAATCACACATCATGGTGAAACTGATCAAAGTAGCAAAATGGAAGAACATCAGGGGATTGATGAGTTAATTCTTAACATGACGGACAGCTGAGAGGAGCACAGTGTCTGTCACCATGAGGGAAAACCCAGCACACTGTATAAATGCCACACAATACTGCACTCTGTACTCACCAAGCTGTGTAATAAAATGTGTGTACTGTACACTAGGTGTGATTACCTTGTGCTGGTGAGAACTGCAGGAGAAGAGTAAACACAGACGCACACGCTGCAGCCTCTGACCGCTCATTATATATATGGAGCAGCACCAGCAAGTACACAGAGGAGACATGTCATGCAGCACACGTGTGTCCTATGAACAATGCCGGCATGTTCATTCAAGCCCAACACTTCTTTTCATATAATGCTTCCACTGTGTAGTTATATTTACCATATGGGCAAAGTATAAGGGGGGGCATTGGAACGCTGTGTTTAGAATCAGCAAACACTTTATGACTGTAGGTGTCAGCATGTGCAGGGTATATGGAAGTAATAAAAGAGCAACACATGTACAACATAGGAGTACACACATGTACAGGACAATGTACATGGATGCACATGGATGCACAGTATGGATATATGAGAGAGGAACATGGATGTATAGGATGGTATATATAGGGGAGGTACATGATGAATAGGATGGTATATAAAGAGAGGTATATGAATGAATAGAATGGTATATAAAAGAGGTACATGGATGTATAGAATAGTATATAAGAGAGGTACATGGATGTATAGGATAGTATATAAGATAGGTACATGGATGAATAGGATGGTATATAAGAGAGGTATGTGAATGAATAGAATGGTATATAAAAGAGGTACATGGATGTATAGAATAGTATATAAGAGAGGTACATGGATGTATAGGATAGTATATAAGAGAGGTACATGGATGTATAGGATAGTATATAAGATAGGTACATGGATGAATAGGATAGTATATAAGATGAATAGTAGTACATGATACATGGATGAATAGGATAGTATATAAGAGAGGTACACGGATCAATAGGATGGTATATAAAAGAGGTACACGGATGAAGAGGATGGTATATAAAAGAGAAACATGGATGTACAGGATTGTATATGGGGGAGGAACATGTATGTATAGGATAGTATATGAGAGAGGGACCTGGATATGCAATATAGTAAATAAGAGGTCCATGGATGTACAAGTATAGAATGGATATGGAATAGAGATCTGGGCTGTGCGTACCAATGGAATCAGAGCTGGTTTCAGGCTGGAAAGTTAAAAATGACATACATTTGGTGTGATACATGATACAGAGCTGATGAATAATGGAAATGGTGACTTTGCTACAGGCAGCTTAGTCAAGCCTCATCCTCAAGAGGGTCAGAGCAAACCCTTCAGTCCCTCTGGACCTACTGGGACACCTATTGTCCTTTGAGTGCAAAGCTATCAGTGTCTATTGGGCATTAAGGACCTGAAGCTGAAAGAAATGACAGCCCATCCCCTGGACTTGCCTCAGTGATCCTGTAAAGTACAGCAATCTACAGCAACCAGCCAGAAAGGTCTGCTCCTAAAAGGTGCTTTTTTGTTAGTGTTTATGCCATTTTGCATATATACCTATGTCTTGCATTTTACTAGTTATATACAGTATATGTATACTGAATATCACTAGTAAAGAGGATGGTATGTAAGAGAGGTACATGTAAGAGTTTTCATTTTGCTTGAGAAGGATGCAGAACCCCTGAACCTCTATCTGGACAGTGCTGATTGGCCCTGTGCTGATCACATGCACTCTCCCAAGAAAATAAAATAAAAAACTCTCTAGCAATACACACCAAACTGAGCATGTGCAGAGTGACTCCATATGATGTCTTATCAGGAGATAAGAGGGGGGGCAATGGAAGAAGGGAAGGATCAGAGAAGTCAGGATCAAACAGCATTTTTACACAATGCAGAGGATTAACCCCTTCCATAGTGAGTATAACAAGCATGCGTTACTGCATATACATATGCAGTAAAGCATGAATGATATATAATTTAACACCACCCAAAAAAATTCCTAAGTGTTTTTCCCCACAGTCCTCACCTCCAGCCGCTCCACCAAAGCGTTATCATATTTGTAACCAGGGATCCTGCGGTCACTGCACTGAATGCCGACATCCTCGCTGTGCTTGCAGTCCGAAACTCCCCAGCCATTAGAACTGCAGGAGGCTATGCTGCTCTCTCTGCCGGTGCAGTGTACATTGTCCAGCCAGATTGGACCTGAGGAAATAGGAGAGGGCCAACAATGATTTCATGTTACCACAGTGACATGTCATGGTGAACTGCAGGGGTGCCTAACATCTGACCCCAACTGTTAGCATGTCACTGCTCGGGGACTTCAACATGTCTGCATGCAAATATTCTAAGACCGTATTTAATAAAGCAGGACAAGGAGCAATGATAACATGTAACCAATTACAGTTTAGATTACTGCATTCAGATCAACATAATGCACTGATGTTATAGTGAGTTCCAACTGAAAAAATAAATAAAAGTCAACAGCTACAAAAACTGTAGCTGCTGACTTTTAAAATTCAGCCACTTACCTGTCCCTCGGTCCAGCGGTGTCCTCACCACGGCTGGTTTCACCGGCTGTCTTCTCTCCTGGCGCTGGCATCTTCAGTGTGGGCACCGGCTGTGACAGCTTGCAGCACACGCAGCCGAGTGCCCAATGCGCATGCATGAGAAGCATTGCCCTTTGTGAATGGCCCCGTAGTCTTCTGTAGTCCACTACGGGGAGGGAGGGTAGGAGGACAACTTCCTCTTCCGATCGCCTAGGCGATTGCAGCAGAAGTGCAAGCGGATACATGTCAACTTTGGGTGTCCGCTCCCACTCCCCAAAGGTGCCAGTCCTTGGGGAGCGGGGGATAAAGGCTTAAAGTTAAGGAGACTGTAGAGATCCTCTGGGGTTTAGAAGCTGCCTTACAGAGAACCACATCATTATTATCATCATCAATGCTTTAAAGTGCTACTAAACCCAGGATCCTGCATTCACTATATCTGAGCTCCCACAGTACACAGAACATGGAAGTGCAATTATTTTAGTGAATATAAACTGCTAAATTCCTTTTCTCTTCAGCAATTAGAGCAGTCTTGTGACCAGCAGAGCACATGTTAATAAAACTTGTAGGAGGAGTTTACATTTTGCTCGAGGAGGATGCAGAACCCCTGACCCTCTGTCTGGACAGTGCTGATTGGCCCTGTGCTGATCACTTGCACTCTCCCAAGAAAAAAAAAAAAACCTCTCTAGCGATAAACAGAAAACTGAGCATGTGCAGAGTGACTCCACACGGTATGTCTTATCAGGAAAAAGAGGGGGACAGGAAGAAGGGGAGGATCAGAGAAGTCAGGATCAACAGTGTTTTTACACAATGCAGAGGATTAACCCCTTCCACAGCATGCTTTACTGCATGTACAGACTGATTTTACTGTTGTGGGTTTAGTAACACTTTAATAGTGCAGAATTTCAGAGAGACCGTGAGCAAGCAGCAAGGACAGGGGGATGAGAATACTGTGTGAGTGCTCTTAATTAGTGATGAGTTCAGGTGTGTCCAGATCCTAGTCCAAACCCACCTGAGTGATACCACCATGAGGATGTCATCTGTACTGTACCAAACATTAGCAGCTGAAGCATTTCCAGCCATATGTATACAAGGTACTACACCTTCAGCTATGGGGCAGGGAATGCCTTGGCTGCTTATGGCTGGGCCAGTATAGTGACAGATTCCTAGAAGGATCACTCAGATCAGTGGACTAGAATCTGAACATGACTGAGCTCATCCCTGCTCTTAATATGGTTTCAAAAAAGATAAATTTGCAGCTTTTTAGGACCCTAGTTGGTTATAAAGTAAAATCTGTTTTTTAGTTTTACCTTCCTGAGCAGCCATCACGACTGGACTTGTGTAAAAAACTAAATGATCAGTATTAGATCATTAAAACTGACCACACTTACTAAAATGATTTATATTTGTGCCCACGTTTAATTTTACTTTGAGATTGAGCATTGGGTCTGAGGTCTCCTGAAGGCTGTCATTTTTGGCTTTTCATCATCCTGTCCTCACACACTGGGGTTGATTTTCCAAAGGCAAGTCGGTGCATTTTGCAAGTACGGTTGCACGCTGCAAATGCAGTTGATCCAGAGTTTAGTAAATAAGGCAGAGCTTCACTTTGCAAATAATACCCAATCACAAGCAAGGAAAATTAAAAACAAAACAGCATTTTTGCTTGCACATGATTGGATGATGGAAGTCAGCAGAGCTATACCACATATACTAAGCTCTAAAGCAACTGCATGTGCAAAGTGCACAGTCTATTTGCCTTTAATAAATCAACCCCATTGTCTCCCAGCTCCCGAGACCTGGTTCACATATATGTGAAATGGATGCATTTTGAACCACATCCGATTTGCGTAATCCAAAATCCTTTTCTATAGAGCCGGTTCACATAAGGGCGGGCCGGCCGCAGTGCGATTTAAATAAAAGAGTCTGATATTTATTTTTTATTTTCAGGTATTTATAGGTATGATTTTCAGCCCAGTTCCGGTGCGATTTCCAATGTTATACACTTTAACATTCTGCATTGGAATCACACCACCACTGAACGAAATTGCACTTTTTTTTACAGATCGCACTGCAAATTGGGCTTAGCGTGCAAAACATTAGGGGTTGATTTACTAAAACTGGAGAGTGCAAAATCTGGTGCAGCTCTGCATAGAAACCAATCAGCTTCCAGTTTTTTTTTTTTTTGTCAAGCCTGATTGAACAAGCTGAGGTTAGAAGCTGATTGGCTACCATGCACATCTCCACCAGATTTTGCACTCTCCAATTTTAGTAAATCAACCTCACTGTCAAGTAACAGAGTCTCATTGTCAATTACAGAGTTCTGTTATCTGACACTCACTGGCACTCTCATGAACCTGGATGCAGTACTAGAGGTCAGGAAATTGAGAGAGCAGCAACTGTCAGACCTCTAACACTCAAGCTGAAAATTCAGCCTCAGACACAGCCAGGTTTGACAGGGGCGCAGGGACAAGTGCATGGACCCCGACACACAACCTATGCATTCAGGTCTGTACATCCATCCCTGGATGTCAGTCAGATTTGACTGTGCGGGTGAGACCATACAGCCAATGCACTCCCATTCTATGGGCTGCCTGCATGCAGCTCAGCAGTAAAAAACTAAACACTCAGCTTTGGACGCTGCATTGGACTGAGGACCCATGTGAATAAACCTTTAATCTTATTTAAATCTTAAAATTCTAAATTTAATTTCAGAATTATGACTTTGGAATTCAGAATCCTTACTTTTAATCTCAGTGTTCTGACATTAATCAAAGAATTCTGAGATGAGAAAATCAGAATTCTGAGTTTTAATATTAGAATTTTAGCTTTCAAACATTGACTTTTAATCACAGAATTCTCTTTTAAATGCAAACCTCTGACTGTACATTAAGTCAGAATTCTGAGATAATAAAGTCAGAATTCTGACTTTGAATCTCATGATTCTGACTTTTAGGCTTGGTTCACATCTGTGCGGGTGGTGCCTCTGCGGATCCGCACAAAAATCTGTGCAGCTGTACCACCCGCACAGAGAAATGCAGACCCGTAGTTCTAATGGCATGCCGTCCACACTGGAAAACGCAACCGTACTGGGAACCGAGGTCTTCTTCCCTGCGTGTCACGGGCATGGGAGTCTATTCAAATGAATGGGCTCCCGTGCCCATGCAAACCGCAGCCCGCACGGCCGCATATATGTGAATTGGGGCTTAAACACAGAATTCTGACTTTTAGACCAAGAATTCTGACTTTAAGTCCTCATGCACACTGAGGTTTTAAAAACACCGGTAGTGTTAGCTGTACAAAGTCACATTAAAAACGCAAGTTTTTCCGCATTTTTTAGCATTTTTGAATTAGGGTTTAGCTGTGTTTTTGCATTTGCATTTTTTAGCATTTTAAAAAAAAAAAACCACACCCCAAAATGCCGGTTTTCCGCGTAATACCACGTTTACCAGCATTAGAGCATTTTTACAGCTAAAAACACTAAAAACCCACTAGTTCTGGGGGGTTTTTCCAGCCAAAAAATGGCCATGACAAAAGATGCTGATTACAGTCTATGTGTGCATGGACACATAGGTTAGTATGCTGGGGGGGGGGGGGTTTAATGGCTGTAGAAAAAAAACGTTAAAGCCAAAATCAGCAGCTATAAAAACGTCCAGTGTGCATGAGGACTAACAGTCAGAATTTTGTTTCAGAAATGTATTTTAGGATGGCCCCAGGGCTCTTCCATATATTGATTACAGAGCTGCATTATGTGCAATTTAGAAGGGTGATTCACTTAATTTGTATTTGGCGCAGGAATATCTCTCTTTTATTTTTATTACAGAGCTGCATTAATTTGTGTCTTTTATATCTGCTGGACTTAAACTTTAAGATGGGACATTAGGATTCAAATGCCTAGCTGTTACTGTAGCTCTTAAAAAAATATATGAAAACAATATTGCATAATATATGCTCTAAAATTTTAGAATGTTAATTTATATGCAGGTCATTAGGTATATAGAGGGTAAAGTTGGCAAAAAATATAATACAACCTTCCTACACTGTGCCACTGTAAGCATACAGGTGTAAGTAAAGCGCCATGTTGTATTTCAGACTTACCGTCGCCTTTGCCATACTTGGAGCTGGGTGCCCATGATAATGCCTCCATAAAGCCCAGTTCTCTACAGACGACATGAGCCGCATGGATGGAGAAGTCATCATCACACACAGTGCCCCACTCCCCATTATGGTAAACTTCCACTCTCCCTTCAGTGTGTTTGCGTTTCTCTCCTGCTAGACGGACGTGGACTTTCTGTGAAGGCTTGGGTGGCTCTGTTGGCTGTGGAGCAGGTGCTTGTTGCTCATGATATTCAGGATAATACTGCCAGTGCTCATATTGTCCCAGTGTAGGTATGGACAGTGTAAGGAAGAGGAGGAATGCAGGAACCATCAACATGGTTTATGAATGATGCCAGCTCTGACTGCAAGCCTAGAACAAGAAAGAGCAGCAATGTTACAACAAATGTCTGTGATACTTTTTCACATCACTGAGTAAGTTAGGCAACAAGTCAAGGCATTCGGAGGTCTACTAATGCTATCCAGTAAACATTGCTAGTGTGCTAAAGGAGAAAAATTCAGCTATGTTAACATGAGGGGCAATCAAAGGGTTGACTGTGTGCTGGGTGTGTTTGTGCTTCACTGTAATCACACTGCTTTGGATGGCTGCGCTGTGCACAGCCATCTAAAGCAGTGTGCATGAGCTGACAGGGAGAACTGTATTGTTTACAAACAGTTCTCTTCCTTGTTAGAGATGCTCGGGAATCACCGGGCAGCAGCGTGTAATCACCAGCCGAAACCCAATGATTGACAGCCGCGGCCGCAATTTCTAATGTGAAAGGGAAGAACTGAGGACTCTAATGTGAATGAGGGACTCTGATGTCAAAGGGGGGGCTTCTGCCGTCATGGCTAACCCCATTTTAGACTTTGAAAACTCAAATTTTGCATACTTCTGAAGGGTGCAGCACAAAAAAAAAACAGGTAGAAAAACACTATTCTAGGTGTTTGGTTTAGGCTCCTTTCACACAGGCTTTCCGATCACCTCCGCCTGTCAGTTTTTCCAGCGAACCTGTTCAGAAGCACCATGCAGATCTATGAACAGGACGTAAACGAACTTGTGTCTGTTTACATCCACCTACCTCCGAGTCTGTCCAGGTCCAGTTTACATCTGGCCGCCCATAGAACTATCACAGGTTCGCCTGTATCTGCCGGACACAAACTGAATGGGCACGGATGTAAAAAAAAAACGGAGACCCGTCCCATTCAGCTGCATTTCAGCAGGGCATCGGAGCGGACTTAGAAATTACTTATGAATTATTCCAGCAGCTTCAGGCATTGTGAAACGTTGTTAACAGGTTACATTTGAAAGTTTGAAACCCTTTTGACAATATTTAGCTCAGTGCTCCAACATATGTAACAATATCTAGCTCCCCAGGTTTGGATGTTCTCATTACTCTCACATGGTCTTGGCTGATTGTGCACAGTTGCCACAACCAACTTCAAAGGAGAGCTAAATGCTGAGTGTGCAGGTGGACATCTGGTTGTGTGTATATGGCCCCATGTGTCATACACTCGCCCTCCTATAAAATGGATCTGACTTCAGAACAGACCGCGCCGTCCATGTGTCCCAATTAAATTGCCTCTTGCATGTTTCTTGTGCAGGACTTGAAATAAAGCAGCATCTGATTTTTGGGAAGGTGTAAATATGTTCTCATGTAATAACTTTTGTGTATTTTTATATGGCAATAGAAGGCTCCATGCACACGGGGCATTTTAATAATGCTGGTAACGTAAGCCGTTAAAAATGTGAGTTTTTCAGAGTTTTTTACCATTTCTGTATTAGCTTTTCGCCGTGTTT